CAACACCCTCCCTCCGCCACAAAGGCAGCCCAGACAACAACTACTCAGGAAGTGTGCCACTGTCGCTTTTGCAACAAACTAAAGTACGTTCGCTCTGAGAATGCATGCGGAATTACATTGATAATGAGGAGGGCGGTACTATTCTCGCCGTATGTAAAGTATGCCATAGAAATGTATGGGATAATGCATAATGTGCGTTTGATACCAAGCGTGGCCGCATGCGGTGCTGGAATCGGAGGTTGTTCTAGATTTTCAAGGTGCATTTTCAGCGCAAACGTACTTTAGTTTGATCCAATGCTTCTCTCTTTCTAAATGTTATAAACAGTTCGTTTTAGCTATGATGGTCTCTATTATATCATCACAGAGTGGAGGCACGGCCTTGTTCTATGCAGGATGGGAAGGTCACTCAGAGGTGGTGAAACTACTGCTAGGAGCTGGGGCCAGAGACATTCCTAATAAGGTAAACCACTGACTCACTATGATGTGTAGGAAGAGTGTCCCTCATGAACCACAGGGTGAACATATCCACACAAGTGTGTGTCAAACCTATTTTAAGAAAGAGAGCTATCCCGGGTGGGACTTGAACCAACTGACACTCTGTTCTCTGGTTGTGGGGCAGCTCAGCAGGCAGTGCTTAACAAAACTATTTTTTTGGTGAACATTGCCCACATATGCACATTGTTTCTAAAAAAGCACAATTTTCCATTGCACGCAATAAAGAGGTGTGGCACTGTTCGTGCAAAATCACTATAGGGGGCCGGGTAGCTACTACTGAACTGTTCTCTTCAGTTTCCCAATCATAGTAATGGGAGGTCTTCATGTATATATTATGTATATTAATCTGATGGACGTTTTTTGTCTCTACAGTTTGGACGCACTGCTCTGAGTATGGCCAGAGCCAACAACCACAACGATGTGGTACAGTATCTACGGCAACACAAGCCAAAGTGAAAAGTAGACACTCTAGCACTGTTACAAGCACATACATAGTTATTAAACAGCATAATTATCTTCACTCTTTATAATTTGTGTTTAGGTTGTTTAAACTGCTATGCATGTAGATGAAACATTTCATCACTCTTCTACTACAAAATTCCCTCAATTATTATCTCTTATAATATTATCCATGACAACCCAGAGTCAAGCCAATGGCTAATGCATGCACATAACTGGTTTCGCAAGAGCATGGGGCAAAGTGTGATATTAGTTTATCATCTCAGAAGGCAATGCAAATCTATCAACGCCTGTGTATAGCTATAAGCTGAAACACATTCAACTACATAATGTCTTTCCTTGCCTTTAGCCAAAACTTCCAATCAATACAGCAACACTCCGTGCCTATTTCTGTCATCGGGTCTGTGTAAAACAGCATCCATTTTCATCAAAACTGTAAGCACTTCAGACACAGGAGGATTCGGGTTGGTAAAAACAGAGTTTCGCTAACCACAATCCTTGTGTCAAACGACTACTATTCATTTCGATTCAGAGTTCCACAAGTTGTGACTCTCACTTACAATCTCTCAGTGGAGATAAAACAGGTGGACGTTGATGTTACAAACAACACATTACTCTATAGGGACCATAATATCATTTTGATAACCTGACAGTGATGACCAAACAACTGGTATCCACTGGATTACAAGGTGTGTTCATAATCTGAAGAAATAGAAAGTTTGGTAGGGAATGATAAGTAAAGTTAAGAAGGGGAATATAGTGCACGGAGAAGTGATCTCGTGCTGTGAAAAGAGGTGATGTTAGGATCAGCGTATATAGGTAGCTTTTGGACCACTGGCTTCAGGTACGAGTGCTGGTGTAGTGTCAGGAAAGGGAGCTGCCTCCACAGCCATTGCTAGCTGAGGAAGACTGACTGCAGGACTTTTGAGGGCATCTACAATTACTCTCCTGGTTGGTCTGAGCTCTGGTTTTTTTTTTACTTTATGCAATATATATACTGCATGGATATACAAATAGCATAAAAATTTAATCAGTATACCCTTGTGTATTGTATAATAAATGAATGAATAATTAGTGCATAAGAGACAAATAAGTAGCTTTTTGAAGGCCATTATAATTATAGAGACTGAGCATCTGTGATATGGTTTGGTAGTGTGTTCCAGACACTTCCTTCTCCAGTCTCTTCTTGATGTACCAGGAGGCAGCTGACAGAGCAATGGATGGTATCAGTCCAGTCACTATCCCTGCCACTCCTTTCAGCTTCACTGCACAGGTAAGAGGTACATAAGAGTATTTCAGGGTGTTGGTTCTTGGGTGAAGAGTGAGGTTGATCTGGATGAGCGGATATTGGTCAGCGGCTTTGGAACGAATATATTTTGAGAGAAGTCCACAAGTTTGTTAATTATCTTGTACATTGTGCATCAGAGCGTCGGTAGACGCTCTATATATGTAGGGATGGCGTCAGTGAAATCTCACGTGATCCGCGCACAAAATTCCGGCGAGAATGGCTAGCTATGCCTTCAAAACACACACACAGAAATCACTCACGGGTCCATATCTACCTATACATATGCCCAAAAGTTTCATACGTACCTTCAGTTCTCCACGCGAGAAGTCGCTCATACGCGATTTCACATAACATACACATGTATAGGTTAACGCGAAGCGGTACAGGCGATATCCCCGAAGCTGTTTACTCTAGCACCCGAGGGCGGTAGAGTAAACAGCTGAGGGGATATCCGGTACTGCTGAAGGTAACCAAGGCGTTAACCAATTTGTAGCCTAGCAACCGTACTAATTGCCTAGCAACCATATTACGTCATCAACATTTTGCCAGGGTTGTGAGAGAAATTGGTGGGCGAGACGAGGGAAAGGAGGCCGAGAGAATGCTTGCGTGATCCCATGCTGCCTGTTAACCGTTTGTTCGAGCGAGTACTACTTTAGCTCGCGGTGGAGCGTAGTGTAGCGTGCAATTGTAGCGGGCTGTTGTAGCGCGGACCAAGCAGAGAAGACAAGACGCCGCGCAGACCTGGAATGACGTTCTTTGGAGTCTCCTTCGTATATCACGTACGCTACAGCTCAGCTATGGTGCAGCTAAGCCTGACATTTTTGAACAGCGTGTTCAAAACGACACAAGTGACGCACGGCACACAGCCCTCTCGCTCCAGCTCTCGCCTTTTTCTGGCTTGCGCGCGCATCTTCTCGCTTACTGGCTCGCCACTTTTCCCTTGCCTGCCAGCTTGGGATGTAGCCACAGCCATCTACAGCTTACCAAGAAAGGTCACTGGCCATTGTTTGCTCATTAGATCGTTGTGTAAACTGTGGCTACCCAGCCAGCGAATACTCATATTGACTCAATTAACGGCAGCCACACATCCTCGGGGATATGAGTATTGACGTGCGGCGGCTTGGGTACTGGGAATATTACTAGCGCGGTGCCTTTGAAAATCAGCAAAACTAGGCTACAAATATATAACATAGAGTAAGCCACCGATAATCGGACGCCATGTATTCTCGGACGCATTTGTGAAGTCTGTGCAGGACTAGATTGGCAATTGTGTATACCAAAGTGTAGTTCTTGGTCATAAATATTGTTGTATAAAAATATTCGCTCTTATCCGAGCTTTACCGTGGGAATGACGTTGCCGTAAAGTTACGATTCGGGCACAGCAAAGATCGGATAAGCGCATCAATGGTAGGACAGTCTCCCAAAACGGGAACAGTATGAATGATCCAAGCGAGTGTATGCTCGATTGATAGCTGTACCTTTTGGCTATGCAGCGACCCACAAATGGCTCTTTTTTGTCTTCGCTCTTTTTGCTCACGAAAGCGCAAATAGGCGGGGTCGCGTAAGCCGCGTTTTACGCGAAAATCATTTTTTGGCTTGTTTCTTCTAACACACCCGCCGGATGAAGCTATAAAACTTTCTCCTCGTGTTTCTTGCCTTATATTAGATGCCTGCACCACGATTTCCGTTTTTGTAAGATTTTAATTTTTTGTAATTACCAATAATTATTTTTTTGTTAAATCAGGTCGGGTAAATGTCATTAACCCCCGGCGCGCATGCGCAGTGAGGGTTACAGTAGTTGGTTTGTCTGTCTGTCTGTGTGTGTGTGTGTGTGAGCCGACGCTTATTCTGGAACTACAGCCTACGAGGCGACCTATTAGCGATAGCGGCTTCAGAACTACGCGAGCCTGAAAAATAAAAGGGCGATTTTTCTGAAACTACTGCATTCGAGAGATATGCTGGGAAGACAGGCAAAAAAGCCAGTACGCACTGGGCTTACCGCGATCTGATCCGCTCGTTCTGTGTACTTTGGGGGCTCAGGAAGTCACAACGAAAACCATGTATCGACTCCCGCATGCCATCTACTACCGTAACTAGCCCGTGCAAGACTCTGCGCTAGCTACTAGAGGGAGACCACGAGTTTATGCATACAAATAGCCCAGGCCATAAATTTTGCAGTATCGCGCATACGCAGTTCGCCGAGGGTTTGCACTTTCATAACAGTAGAAATCCATTTGTTACTGTACACTAAGGTTGCCCGCTTGCTGTATCTATCAGGCAGAAGTGTGTCTGGCTATCATGCTCTAGAACTTGTTGTTGCAGAGCTAACATCGATAAAAACTCGGTTCCAAATCTTCTCATTTGCTGTGAATTGCGTTGGGCCTCTACCAACATTTTACTCGCCTCACACCAACCACAGTAGCATGTAAACTCGGAACCCAGTCACCCTCTCATACCCAAATGGCAATCCTGGTCTAAAATTTGTTTTGCATGCGCAATAGCTGTCAGGACCGACTGCACGCACGCAAGGAGTGAATTCTGCCTGCTTAGCCACGTCGTTTCTTGAGACACTTGAAATAGGCTTTCGGCTATGTAAGGCATTTTTACGCCTTCAATGCTCATTGTTTATAGCATCGCACGCCGTACACTCTGCAGTAGCTAGTCATGCGCTAGTCTGGTGCCCAGACCCTTCAGAAAATATATGCGCACACATAAACTGTGCGAGGGAGGAAGAGAAGGGTTTATGCCTCTCAACGGGCCAAGGAGTTTCAGCAACCACTTATCTCGTGTGGTTGTGGTTACACCCAACTGTGATGAATATCATTATGAGCTATAATACTAACCTGCATGTGTGCACACACACGCGAACTTTTGACTGATGGATGGTAACCACCACAGATAAGTAATGAGCGGATTATCTTCTCACACGATGACTTTGTGGCTGTGGGGATGGTGGGTGGAAATAATACCTGCAGCTACCCAAGACGTCCATAATCCGTTCACCCGTTCTAAAATCATCACCCCTACGGTGTGCAAAACAGGGGATGTTCATACTTGGAGCTCACATACTACATTGCTATGCAGTGGGCATCGTCAACAAATAGCGCAACCAATTTTTCCTCATACACAGGAAGAAGCTCCACTGGGGGTTCGACAACAGAGACTCTGGGCTAATGAAAAGCACTGAAGTGCAAACCCTCGGCGCGTTGTGACGCACGCGTAAGCTGCACCGCACCACTAATTGATGGGCTGGGTTTAGTTTTAGCTGTTACTCGTGGTCTCTTGCCAGCTCGCGCAGAGTCTGACGCGGGCTAATTACACTACTAGATATCGTGCGAGAGGCGATACACGCCCTGTGTTGCATCTTCTGGTGCCTCCGAGGTACGCAGAGCACGGAGATCAATCAGACCGTGGTAAGCCATCCTGTCCGTTGCTATTTCCATATTGGCTTTTTCGCGCTCTAGCTTTGCAACGGAGCAGTTTCAGAGAAAACCGTTCCAAATTCTGACCTTCATTGCCCGTTAAGTAGGTCATATCCTTTGTGAGACGAAAAAACACCCGAGAAGTGAGATATAGAGTAACAGACTGACACACAGACCCAACTACCGTACCCTGGCTGTGCATGCGCGCCGAGGGTAATAAAAAGTAGCTGAACATGCCATTTCTGAATGCTAGCCACTGGCTCAATATCTTGTTGGAGTTCTCCAACAAACTCAAAGCATATTCCCTTCGTACTCGTTCTAACATCAGACATGTAAGAAGGGATAAGAACACAGAACTATAGAGCCTCGAGCATCGAGTGTGTAGACAAACACAAAAGGTAACAAGTGCATTAAAAACCCTGCGAATTTAAAAAAAGAGGCATATAGGGACGGTATAAAAAGAAAGGGAGACAAGATAGGGATAGGATACGTATGGTTAATGAACAGATTTGTGTACGCTGCCACCCCCAACCCATACTGTTGTCTGGTGTGCTACTCTTTATAGGGGCTAAAGGTTACTAAAAGCAAGCATTCTTTCACCGTGCCCCTGTTGTTTTTAGTAACATTTCTACTTTTGTACTGCCACAGTCCCTTTGATTAAACTCCACTTGGACTCTATAACGGTGTTGGTTACTCAGTAGCATGACTTTTTTGTATTATATATAAGTTCTGAGTATCGTAATGGTGAATGTTTAATACTTTATCTGGGCAACAATAACATAGGGATTGTGTGATGAGGTTGGGTGTGTAAGCGCACTCAAAAACTATTCATTAACCATGCTTCATGTATCCCATCCCTATCTTGTCTCCCTTTCTTTTTATACCATCCCTATATGCCTCTTTTTTAAAGGCGCAGGATTTTTAATTTACTTGTCTCCACTCATTTTGTATATGCTACTACGTATATCTATGTGAAAGGGGGCAAGCCCTCTATAAAAAAATTTATAATAGAGAAAAATGCCTGTTGTCGTCATGGGAATGATGTAATACGCATACGCACCAAGTATATGTGCTGCCGGTTTGAGGAGTGAAGAAGTATAAGCCTGAGCTTATTGGTTGTTGTTCAAATAATATGTGGTCGTCATGGAAACGATGTCATTTGTACCAAGTTTCATCTCCATGAGTGCTACCGTTGGCAAGTTTGAGGAGTGAAGAGTGCCTGAAGCTATTTGATGTTGTTGAAACATGATGTTGTCATGGAGATGATGTAACGTGCATGCATAGCTACCGCGCATGCATTTACTCACGCTTGCGCGTCACTATGAGCCGAGGGTTTGTACTTCAGTGATTTTCATCCTTTAGCATTACGAGGGTAGATTCATCTATAGAATGTTATGAAAATGTCAGTCGGTGAGAAGTGTTGTTGGTGGTGTGATGTGATGTTATGTTTTCCTAATCATTCTCCTACATTTGTCCTGTATTTCTACCTTCTTTCTATTATTAAAAATGTCCGGGTGTTTCTCTATTATCTCCAGGCACTTCTTTCTGGTTGGTACAGTCTGGTGTGCCATTAGGTCTATCTCTTCCCTCAATATCTTTTCCTCCTCCTTGGACCATCGCCGTCTTTGTGGATGATGCGGTACAGCATCCCCTCTCTTTTTATGATATTCATTCAAATGATTCCATAGTCTCTTCACTCTTTTGCTGCATCCAGGTACAGGACAGAGCTTCTGACTTGGCTCTCCACCATCAAGAGGACTGTCTGGTGGTGTTGGCAGTCCTGCAGGTTGCACTCCCCTTTTCCCTTCGGTCAAAAACGCTGCCAACTGTGAATCTGGAAACACATCGTAAGTGTTGAACATAATATAAGAACATAATATAAGAACAGTACTCATACCTGTGTAGTTCCCTTTACTCTTATGGAACTGGAATAAGTGATTCCATAGTTTTTTCACTGATCTTCTACACCCAGGGACTGGGCAGAGCTTCCTTCCTACAGGCTGTTGCATCTGGTAGGGGAGGGGAGGAGAGTCTGCTGTCAAATCCTTCCGTATCCGTATGGAATGATGATCCCTAAACTCTTTCTCTCTTTTATACCCGAAGACAACCCCATCCTTTTTGCCCTTCTAATCCCTGAAATCCCTCACACCTCCGCCCTAAGGGAGGTTTACAATCCCACAAGAAGGCTACCCTTCCCCCCAGGGATGCTTACTATCCCTCGTTGTCACTTTCTAATACCTTTTATCTCTAACAGTTCAGCCCTAACGAAAGCTTAACGCCCACAATGAAGGCTTACTATCCCTCAGAGAGTAGGTGCTACCAGTTTAACACCACCCCCAATGGTTTTCAGTCCTGCTAAGGAATGCTTAACACACATAATGAAGGCTTACTTCTTACTATCCCCAGAGGGATGCTTCTATCCCTCAGAGAGTAGGTGCTATAATTATACCTATTTAACACCACCCCAATGGTTTGCAGTCCTGAGGGTAAAGGCCCAAGGGATTGTGATCAATATCCCTTACAGTCCAGCAGCTGGTACCATTAGGGACTGCAGCTTTCCTTGTGCATTCGAACAATACATCTTGGCACACCTTTCTGTTTGGGACCTTCATGAATGATGAATAACCATTTCTTCAGTTAAATTCTTCTCCTCCTCTGCCTGAGTCCACCTTTTCCCCTAACCCTCGGGGTTATCATGTGTCATAAATTTATATATATACACATATGTACCTATGCTTAGGGTTGACCTTCGTTGTATATATGGCACCATACAGACAGTTGTAACTAGTAAAAGATGGAACAGAAAGTGATGGCTCAATAATAATAGACCTTATGAGGCATGATGGTGATAAAAGAGCAGAAGAGAACAGTGACTTAAACCGACGATATAGAACATTCTTTATAGTATCCACATGTGCAACACAATGTGCAATACCAGAATCAGAATTTCATATTTTCCGCAGAATTTTGTTAAAACCAATTTCAAGCTGTCTTATTTGTTTTGCACCCAGAGACCAGATGGAGGCACCGTAGAGAGACAAGCAGTATATAGGACTTGATTAAAAAGGTCTTCAAAAAAGGATCCACACGAAGAAATGTACATAAAACCGAGTTAGCTTTACGAATCAAGTCCTTTAAAACTCAAGCAATATCTTCAGAATCATCCAGGGTGCTAGTGAGGATATGACCCAAGTGCGTGACTTTACTGGAGTACTGAAGAGCAACATTGTTGAACAATATAGTGGCAGATAGAGGATGCATATGTGAAAGATGAAAACAAATAATTATTAGCTGTGTTTTATTAGTATTGAATTCCAGTTTCCTCTCTGTGGCAAATGAGTTGCAGATGTCTAACATAATCTGTAGGGCTGACGCACAAGGTGCTAACAACACAATGTCATCTGCGTAGCAAAACGCACCAGCAAAAACAGAACCCCAAAAACAGCCAACACCACTCTTACTCAATTCCAGCAACAAACCATATACATAATATACCGAGAACAAGATGACAGAATACTTCCCTAACGAACACCATTAGAAACAGAAAATGGAACAGACAAACTTGAGTTCCAGCGAACACACTATACCAAAACCGCAAGAACCTAACAACAACCACAGGTAAACCTCTATCCAAAAGAATGTTAAAGAGAATATCATGATCAACAAGATCAAACACTTTCAAAGCATCAAGGAAGCAACTGAAGACAGACGTCCCATTAGGAATGTATCTGGAAATGACTGTACCGGTACACAGAGTGGCAGAGAAGCCTGATTTAAAACAATATTGCGAGAACACTTCTCATACTTAGAAAGGATGAGTCGCTCAAGAACATTACTAAGGTTTGAAGATAGAGCAACTGGACGATAGTTAGATCTGCAAGAAGCAACCTTGTTCCCTTTTGGTATGGGAACAATGACAGAGTCACGAAGACATTGTCACAGTGGCATATAGCTCCATGGATACCATCAACAATGGGAGCAGTACTCGAGGGTTCAGTACTTCTTAGAAGCTTCACAGCAAGCCAGAAACTGTCTTTATGCCCCTTGGCAAACGTGTGGGCAAATTGATATTGAAGTAGATGGTGTTTCCTACGTCTTAGTCGGCGAACTTTGTATTTGAATCTCTTTTTGGAGGATTTTTTTATCTTGGACAAAACACCAGAACATGGGCAACATGCCTCCTCCCAGACTCTCTGCCAGAAAATAGAATCTTTCCTTAGCTTACTAGCACAATCATTCCAACCAACAACGTTTTAGAGGGGGAGATACGAGAGGGAAAACAAGCAACAGCACAATTAAGCAAAACTGAAACAACATGACCAGCATAAAAGTCCAGCTGATCCGAATGTACTGAACAATGAGAATCAAAGCAAACAAATACATCAGCTGGGAATTCCAACAATTTTTAATTGGTTTCCCTAACCTGAACTTATCCATAATAGGAACAGGTTATTCCAAAAGAAATTCCAGAACTTCCTGGATGTCATGCCAAGATCACTTTTCCTCAGGGATGGCACATCACACATAGTGATAACCATTGGAGTACGGAGGAAACAACAATGCTACAATATAGTATAGATCATGTTGTCATCCCGTACTTCTCAGCAGCTCGGAGAGAACTATATATAGCTGTCAGAAGACCAAGTGTGCCTAGCTGTTTTTGATGTATTCGCTGCTCATCATTGCAGCTCAGTGCTCCAAAATTTGAGTGCACATCACATTCATCAGGTTTTTGTCCATGCTTCATACACTGGCGAACTGCAGCCACTTGATCTCTCTGTGAATGATGAGTTTAAAGCTGTAATGAAGGAAAATTTCAGTATATATGTGGTATGGAGACGAAATCAAGACTGGGCTAGACCAAGGAGCAAGCCTGGATAAGGTGAAGATTGATCTAAAAGCGTCTCTCATCAAGCCTTTGCATGGAAGCTGGTTCATAACAACAATTACAACTCTACAATCACGAACTGCCTCTTTAGTTAGAGGCTTCGAGACAACTGGGATCATGGAGTGGCTTCAGAAGAGAGGAGGGGAGAGAGAACAAGAGAATGTAGAGAACAGGGAACAGGGGGAGTGGGTAGAAGAGAGAAGGGGAGAGAGAACAAGAGAATGTAGAGAACAGAAAACAGGGGAGAGTGGGGAGAAGGGAGGAGAGAGAAAACAAGAGAATGTAGAGACCAGAGAACAGAGGAGAGTTTGTAGAAGAGAGGAGGAGAGAGAACAAGAGAATGAGGAGAACAGAGAACAGGGGAGAGTGGGTAGAAGAGAAGAGGGGAGAGAGAACAAGGAGAATGTTAGGAACCGATGAACAGGGAGTGTGGTAGAAGAGAGTGAGAGAGAGAGAACAAGAGAGTGTAGAGAACAGAGAAATGGGGGAGTGGGTAGAAGAGAGGAGGGGAGAGAGAACAAGAGAATGTAGAGAACAGAGAACAGGGGAGAGTGGGTAGAAGAGAGGAGGGGAGAGAGAACAAGAGAGTGGGGAGAAGAATCCCGAGCCACGCATTGTTTTCAGTTCCCTTGCTGCATTAAAGCCTGATACTGCATGACATAATATTGATCATTGCCTTTTCTGGACTTGTTTTGAGTCCACATGAAGAGTGCAAACCCTCGGCGAACTGATACTACTAATTGATGGGCTGGGCTATTTGTGTGCGTTTATTCGTAATCTCCTGCGAGAGTCTGACACGGGCTAGCTACGCATAGCATGCGGGAGTCGATACACGCCATTTTTTGTGACTTCCTCCGCCCCAAGGTAGTACATACACAGAGCGAGCGCATCAGGTCGCGGAAAGCCCAGTGCGATTATATGCATATTGGCTTTCCACGGCATATCTCTCGAACGTACGTATTCGTTTCAGGAAAATCGCCCTTTTTCAGGCTCGCGTAGTTCTGAAGCCGCTGGTATCTCTAATATGCCGCCCCGTACCCAGAATAAGTGTCGACACCCACACCCAATAATTGTAGCCACGTAGTAGGCAAATCTGGACTCCAACCAGGTGGAGTGGCCTCGCCCTCTCTGGAGTGTCTCACGTGTCGGGAGTTTAAAGAGGCCGAAACGCGTATGACATGGTGAAAGATTGGGAACTCCCCTGATGACCAGTAACAAAAGAGCCCAGCACTGCACTTGCATGTTGCTGGACTTGTGGATAGGTTTACATGTACATTTAAGCACCTGGCTGGCTGCATGCGGTGACGCTGACAAAAGCCGCCCACCCTCTCTCGTTAGCATTAATCCTGCCTATACTTTACCTCTCTTTGTTTTCCCCAATAACAAACACACACACACACACACACACGTAATCCGGTTATGCGCAGAGATTCTCTTTAACAAGACTCAGCTGCTTGGTGTCGTCTCGTCTTCGGTCCCAGATGGTCTGCTCATGACGAAAAGCACTAAAATGCAAACCCTCGACGAACTGCGCACTCGCGGTACCACTAATTGAGGGCCTGGGCTTTTATTATGCGTTTACTCGTGGTCTCCATGCTGGTATAGAGTCTGACACTGGGTAGCTACAGTAGTAGATAGCATGCGGGAGTCGATACACGCCCTTCGTTGTGACTCCTTGTGCCTTCAAGATACACAGAGCAAGCAGACCCGGTCGAGTAGGCCTGTGCTGATTTGTATATTATTATTATTATTTTTATTATTATTATTATCACATGGCAATAATAAGGCACAAAAAAGAAAGAAGAGATGATGAAATAAGGAGTTAAGAACATGATAATTTAAAAAGAAGCTCTTCAAATGGCGATACAGGACCAACAAATTTTGTAAGAGTAAACGACCAAACATGAAATTATGTCCAACGAAGGTATATATAAGCTAAAAACATGAGTCATGAAATATACGCGAGACAAATGACGAATTTGACATAAGGCCACAGGCCAATTACAAAATTTAATAAATCTTCCATAAATTATTCGAAGTATGTTTGTAGTCTTAGCAACACAGTGTAGCTACTAACATGGA